GGATGGGATGAGGATGGAGATGGGGAAGGGTATGAGAATGGGGATGGGGATGAGGATGGGGATGGAGACATGGGTGTGGATGGAGATGAGGATGGGGGTGAGGACAGAGATGGAGGAGATTTCAATTGCTGCCGAGGCCCTCAGCCAGCTCACAGCCCCCCATTTCACAGCCCAGCTCAATGGCTCGCTCCCATCTGTGTCTAGACCCTGCCAATATTAATAGTCTGTTATATCCCCTTTCCCTCTGCTGCTCTGTCTCGGCCAAACTTTCTTAATCTTTTTTCCAGTGGCCTTTTTCCAAGGCTCCCTGACCCACAGCCAGCTCGCCCGTGAGTTCCTGGGCTGCACTGAGCACATCTGTGCCAGCTGCCTGCTGCCCGCCCGGCCCTGAGCACCCATGGGTGCGAGAGCCACAGGGAACCGCTCCCCACCCCCAGCTCCTGCATCACGGGCTGGGGTGGGTCTGGGGGCTGCACGTGCCTCTGATTGATTTAACACTTGGAGAAGGAGATCAGAGCTTTCCAACTCGAGATTATTTTTCCTTTTTTTGTTGTTGTTTTGTTTTGTTTTTCTTTGCTAGGGACGTGCAAGCTCGGTTTGATTGCTAAACCAGTGCATGGCTACGAGGGGGAGACCAGGACTGGGGCTCAATCCTCCCTGCGACCCTTCCACCAAGGTGCTGCTGTGCCCCATCTCCATGCTTGGCCCTAAAGCACAGCCCCATGTGGGGATGTGACGCTGCTTTGGGATGTGACGCTGCTTTGGGATGTGCCATGGGTGAGTGGTGGCCTCTCTGGTGAGGGCTGAGCTCCTGCTGTGCTCAGTGCGCCCTCATTAGGGCCACCCTCATCCTTGTGGGCATTCAGCTAAAAGGTTGCATTGCTGGTAAAAAATACACCAGGGTAAGCACAGCTTTCAAGTAGTTAAATGGAGGCCAGGAGGCGGGGGGGAGAAAAAAAGAAAAAAAAAAAGTGGTTGTTTTATTATCAGTTTGTGTGTATGCTTCTATAAAGAGCATTAAGGAATTGCAGCAACTGTGGTCAGGGAAAAATAGGACCAAAGGAGCAGTGATGGGTTTCTCTGTGCTTTCCTCTTCCTCGTGCTGTGGTTGTACTCCAGCAGTCCCTTCACGTGGCAGGCCCATAACCCTGACTCTAACCCTAATCCTAACTCTGACCCTAACCCTATCCCTAATAACCCAAACTCTAAACCTAACCCTGACCCTAACCCTAATAGCCCTAACCCTGACCCTGACCCATCCCCAGGGCAAGGTGTGATGGAACAACCATTGGAGCAGCCCATGAGCCCTACCTGCCCACAGCCCCTCTCTTTTCCTGTGTCACCCAGGCAGCATCACCATGAGCCCCTGGAGGGGGGGGGGGGCACAGGGCTCTGCTCCAGCACTGCTTTGTGTGGGGTGGGCTGGGCCTGCAGCCCCCCACCCACAGGATGGAGAACAAAGGGGGTTTGCTGGGGAGCGGGGGGTGATCCAGCAAAGCGGGGTCTGCAGGGAGCAGCGAGCCCCCCCCCCATCAGCCTCCTACCCCCCAGCACTGCCCCTGGGGGGGGGAAGCACAGTGCAGAAGGGAAGTTTTCAATTTTTCCATCTTTGAAAGATGAACATTCATGGGGCCTTTTGCTTTTTTTTTTTTTTTTCTTTTAAAGTTGAAATGTCTGTTTCCTATTTATTTATTATTATTATTATTTTTAATATTATTTACAGAAATAGCTCGTGACTCATCAGAAACCTCGGAGCAGAAAACCTCGAACAGAGGGGTCATTCACTGGGAACTGGAAGCTCCCTCCCCCCGCCCAGCTCTGCTCAGAAGGGTTTCGGGCGGTTATTTTGCTCAGGGATTTTGTGTGCGCCCAGCTCTGTAACCACGCAGACGGATCAGGGGGTTATGGACATGGACCTATGCAAACACAGCTCTGTCTGCACAGCCTGGCTCTGTCGAAATACAGCCCCATTCATGGCTCTGCAGCCCGGATTTGGGGTTTTTCTGTTGTTTTCGGATTGCGTTTTCTTTTCGGTGTTTATTTTTGCTTTCGAAACTGCAAAGAGTACAGGGCGGGATGGGCGCCCGCGGTGTTGCAAAACTCACTTTAAACTGCAAAGCTGGGGCTTTGTGCAGAGCCCATGCTGAGCCTGGATCTGGGAGTTGGCTTCCAGCCCCTTTAAATCCCCATTGCCCATCCCCACCCCATTATCCGTTGCACCTCACTGCCTGACTCCACTCTGTTGTCCATCCCACCCCACTGACCACCCCTACCCCATTATTTGTTGCACACCACTGCTTGACTCCACTCTGTTGTCCAGCTCACCCCATTGCCCATTACACCCTACTGCCCATCCCCACCCCACTGTCCAGCCCACCCCCGTTGCCCATCCTGTTCCATTGTCCAACCCACCCCATTGCCCATCCCCACCCCATTGCCTATCCTGTCCCATTACCCATCCCCACCCCCCTGTCCATCCTGCCCATCCCTATCCCATTTTCCAACCCATCCCATTGCCCATCCCCATGCCATTGCCAATTCTGTCCCATTTCTCACCTCCATCCCATTGTCAATCTCACCCCACTGCCCATCCCCACCCTACTGACCACCCCAACCTCACTGCCCATCCTGCCTCAGGTCTGGGTTCAGGGCCACAAAGCATTGGGGTCAGGTGAGCGCTGCAGGATATGGGGGTTGGCTTTGGCCATGTGATATGAACACAGCCACTGCCACGAGCTCCTGTGAATGTGGGTCAGTGAAGTCCCACACCCACACCAACAGCCCCATTTCCCAAAACACATCGAATTCCTACAGTGATCGGGTGTAGCAAGGCTGGGTTATGCTCACTGCAGGACCCTCTTTGTACAGCACAGTTCCCACACATCTCCTACTGTTGCTGCAGCACAATGCCAGAACTGCTCAGGGATGCTTTCTTTATAGGACACCGCTTGGTTTTATGGAGAATGTTCCCATTGGCGTGCTGGGCGCTCCGCGTTGCTGAGTAATTGGTAACCCACAGCACAGAACTGCCCAGACTTGTTTGCACACCCTCCTGCTCCACTGCATCTGCTGCGACGAGGATGGCCCCATCCCTCTCTCTGGGGCTCCTCATGTGAGTACTGGGCTCTGGGGCTGCGATACCCAGGGCCACACTGCCCCACAGCCCCACAGCAAGGGAGGGCTTTGGGGGCAATCTGTGCAGGGCCCTTCATGGGGTGTGAGCTGATGGATGCTGGTGGTGACGTTCCAGAGCCATCTCTGAGACACGGAGCCTGCAGGAAGGAAGACTGGGGCTGGGCTGCTGTGAGCTTGTGCTTGCCAAAATCCCCCCTGAATGAACACGGACTGCAGCTTCAACACCCCATTGGGAGGAGGCAGCGTGGAAGTTCTGGGGCAGCAGAGAGCACAGCAGCTCGGTGCTCACCGTCTCTGGGGCAGCGTGGAGATGGGATGCGCCCTGCCAAAGCTCACGGGGAGCTCTGGGGCACCAGGAGCAGGTACCTCGTGGCAAAGGGACCTGGGTGGTGGAAGAGGGGAGAGCATGGAGCTGATTTTCAGGACTGGATCCTACCTTTGGTTGTGGGGTCATCAGGGGGAGAGACCCTGCACTGTGGGATCCCCATGGGGCAGCAGCACGGCCACGGTGCTGTGATGGATAAAGCCCCATCCTCTGTGCCCTCTCATACCAACCCCTGCCCTGCTGATGCCACAGCGCTGAGCACTGGGCACACGAGCTGCAATCAGGGCCACAGTTCTGCATCCTCAGAGGACTTCTGAAGTAGCGCTGCTCCCATTCTGCTGCACCTCCTCTCATGATGGGCCCCGGTGCAGCTCGTCTCTTTCCTCCTGAGCCATAGGAGCGCAGTGGGGAGATCCCGAGCCATGGCTCAGCCTCACCAGCACTCATTTATTTCCACGCATTACCAGGCTGAGCTGTCAGCACAAGGTGGGAGGGGAGTGCCGCTCTGCAGCCCCATGGCTGAGCCCAGCACATGGCACAGCATCACCGCTGCGCTCCGCCTGCCCAGGGCTGCTCCCCGCCAATCCCAGGGCTGCCAACCCTGGCATCAAACACCTCCATCCAGTGACCTGCATAGTGCAGGTGCCAGCTAAGCAGGGAGGAATGTGCGTGGCAGTGTGGGGCTGGCATGGCTGTGATTCACTGACACCCCACGGCCCCACAACCCATGGGCCGGACCCATGCTGGGTGCTGCCCTAATGTTCATTTGGGCAAGCTTCAGGTGATGGAAAGGCTCTGGCCGCTGTCCCCTGGTGACCATGGGGTGATGGCAGCGGAGGAGGGGCACAGGGGGGTCACCAGCTCCAGCAGTGGGTTCAGACCCTGGGGGCCACAGCTCTGTTCTTCAAAAACGGAGTGCTGCAACAGAGTGGAGTGATCTGAGGGAAGTTTTGAGACCCCCCCCCAGGGCAGGGAGGGCACCCCCAGCTCTTGGCTGACACCCACAGCAGCAGCTGAGCTCCGGAGGGATTACAGCAAAATTATTCCCCGTATTGTGCGAGAGGATGGCTCCTGCGGGGGGGGCAGCAGCAAACCGGGCGAGGGAAAGGGCTGCTCCCCCCCAAACAGGGAACGCGCCCCGGCTCTGCGTGCGGGGCGGTGGGAGGAGAACTCTGACCGCTCTTCCCACGTGGGGAAACTGAGGCACGGCGCGGGGGGGGCGGAGGCTCTGGGGCCCCTCCTCCGTACGGCCCTCCCCTCGGCCCAACGCGGAGCCGGAGGCGCAGAGCAGCCGGAGAGACCCCCGGGAGCTGGGAGCCCTCCGCCTCCCCCCCCCCTTTCCTCCCCGCTCCGCTCCATCCCCCAAAAGAAACTTTCCTCCCCTCCTCTTCGGCGCAGCGCTTCGGTGGACGCGGGCGGTTGTTTGTTTGTTCTCGCGGCTTTTTCTTCTTTTTCTTT